ATGCAGTGCCTGCTCACATCATTGAGACATCCCAAAAGCGCTTCACAAAATATACTGAATCTACTTGGAAACTAACTAAATTGGCTCTCTTAAAAAAAAGTATTGTTACTGTACTTTCAGCTCCTGTACACTGCCATCAACTCGACAGCTTAACCTCATTTTAAAAGGAATAGAGACAGGTTTAATGTGCAGACGAAGCTCATTCATTCCTTATTCACAACACATTCTATTTAATGAACTAAGAAAGTTGTTAAATTAAAATCACATGACTCTTTTAAGAACCATCTCAGAGGAGATGCATGGACCATCAGTTGAGCCTTTGATTTAAATCCAGGGCCAAGAGGTGAACAAACATCAAAGGGGTAGCCAGACCATCTTCATTTTAGTACCTGCTGGGGTTTTGGGGGCACAGACAAGCAGTGGATGATGATTTGCATTTTCTTTGCACATTCAAATTTGTTGCACCAGAAAGATTGTGTGTAACTAAGGGCAGAAGGTATAAAAAAAATCCAACAGCGATTTAGCACATGACTGTGTATTTTAATAAAAATAATTCTGTCAAAATACAACAGAATACATTTTCTTTTAACATATTTCTAGTACATATTTTATTTTTTTGTTTGCTTTTTTCGCTTTTGTTTTAAAAGGTTCTCAAATGTTCATGCTAGTACTGGGTAATTTTTGCTTCACAAATACTTACTATGCTCAAACTGAACAATCCATTGTACGAGTGCACAACTTGTGTGTTCTTTCATTGAATTTCATAACAAAACTAACTGATATGGAGCATGGAGCAGAAATTAGTTCATGAGTTTTATGTTGGTAAAATGAAACATCTTGCTTCACATTCCATGCTGTAAATTGTATGCATCATACCTGAGTTTGGAGCAACAGAGGAAATCATTAAATTACAATGTATACATCTTATACTGCATACAGAATTTGAAGTGTTTATTATGACCCTTCCCTCCCTTAAAACAAAATGACTATAGTTTCAAGCTGAGCACAGTTAAGTACACAAAACTAGAATTACTAGATTAACAGAATTTTCGTTTTTTTAAAAAAATCTTTAAATAGTGTCACACCATTTGTATTGTTTTATTCTAAAAAAAATTAAAACAACAAAAGAAATAATCAGCATTAGTTTTGCAGAACCCCAACTAAGGGAAAAAGAGCACACACAAAATCAAAGCCATGCTTCAGAACACTTCATACCATCAGGAAAATGAGGCCTCCTGTTCCCGTCTTTGAAAGTGCCTGGTACAACCTCAGGGTTTTGTGAGTGCAAATGTAGGTTTTACTTTTAAAATGCAGTCGGCTTCTCTTTCCATAAAATCGGTGTTTGGTAAATCCAGGACTTCAACTGGCATGGGAAATCTACCAGAAAGAGAAGATGGGGTGGGGGGGAGGAAATTATACTACTTATACTGTATAATGTGCCACAGTTTGGAAATGTCTCCCACAACAGCCAGCAACTCTCAAATCGACTCTAGCTGCATTGGAGAAAAATGAAAACACAAAGACCAAAGGAAACTCGAGGAAGGGGGTGGGGGGGCGGAAATAAATGGTGCATAATCCCAGCCTCAGGATATTAGTGAGACAAAATACAAATTAGTAGCAATACCTCCAAAGAGGAATATCAAAAATGAAATCAGAAACTTTAATTGGAAATAATCATGGATTAAGATTGTCTCATTAAGGTGATAATATCAACCTTGCCACTGATTGAGACATTAAAAAAAAGAAAAATACATGGTTTCACAGAGCCGTTAGTAGCCCATCATAGTACACAACACCTCCATTTGTACCTACCGAGTAGAGGATACAGTATCTTCCAGTCTATTGTGACAACTAAATTGTGTGTGTGATCAATCAGCAAGTCTCAAATACCATAGTTGCTAAATTTGTCTTTCAATTACTTGCAAATACACAATACTGAATACAAGTTCACGTCACTAAATTGGGTTATTTCTCCCCAGGGCTTTTCTCAAGACGAGTAAATTGCAGGGAATTTTTTTTGTTCTGAACAGGTTATTTGAAATTTGGAATGGTTTTAAACCGATTTATAGTATTATGGTGAGTGGGAATGGCAAGTAGGGTTTGGCAAGTATAATTCTGGTTTGGCTAGCACATTTTTTTTTGAATAGTCATCAGTTGTTAAGTCTGAGAAACATTTAGTTGAATGATGAGNTTTTTTTCTCCAAATTATTAGGCGATGTAAAACTTCAACACACTTGAGTGTTTGGATGGATATATACCAATGGACAGCCAGCCAGATGTCAATTTCCAGATCATGAGCTGCCTGGCAACTGGAACTGACTCAACCTCCTGTTATCTGACCCACACATTCTGTAAACAAGGACAGGAATGCGGTGATGAAAAAGACGCTGCGATGGGCTGACATACAAAGTCAGGTGATTGATTTGCTCGTTAACCATTCGTTTTGTTTTTCTCAATGAGACCCTGTTCCTTTACTGTTGACCTAATATGGTTAAGGTAAATAAAATCAACTTGCACCAAATACCATTGTATAAAATGATGCGCTCTCTTCAAAACAGCCGAATGCTTTGTTTTCCAGCATAAATTTTCTTTCTGCTTTGACAAAGATGGTAGAGCAGGGCAAAAGTGATTTGAATTGATATCTAACAATACAAAAAACAAGTCAAAAGGGGAGGTATATTGTACTTGAGTGTCGGATGGTTGTAAATATCATAAATGTACACTTCTCCATGTCTTTGAATCACTTTTGCTGCTTCCTATTTGCTTCAGTCCTGGTTGGAGGCAGGCTCAAAGCAGACATTCTGTGTTGAACACACAGATTGTAACAATGATGACATTTTTGCCAGTGCCTCTGTGAACAGAGTCAGGAGTAGAATTTCCACTTGTTGAATGTCTACTTCCAGATTGTGCCAAACCAGTGGTTCCAAATGGATTGATAATAATACTTATCTTTGCATTGATCACAACAAAGGGGGAAACACAGTCACTGAAAAATGTTCAAGTACCTATCGCCATTTGTAACATCTAGGATTATGAGATAAAGATTATGAGACAATTAATTGTAATATACCTCCCTTTAACTAATCCCTTGATGAGATCAACTACCATTTTGATATGGCATTGATGCTACGGTAGTGAATCTCTTCTGAGCAAAACGTGCATTAAAATAATTTGACGAGAGCATCTTTTTAAAACACTGCATCTTTTCTAAATATGACCAGAGTTGAACTTAAAAGGAGACTAATGCTACTTTATTTTTAATGCAAAATATAGGCTTAAATTAAAACGAATGTTGTGATCACTTCACGGTTAAAGCTCAAGAGCCAGTCAGCCAGGCGCCGCTCTGCTTAGTGGGGGGAAAAAAAATGACATCAGCGGCTATCTGGTGCCGTCTGCTGCTCATGTGCAGTTGCTAGGTTGCATTGCACAGTACATCAAAGATGGAATTACTTTTTGCTGAAACCTGCCTGGGCTGACCCAACCCTAACCAGCTAGCAGGGATGATGCATTTGCCTTTAACGGGTTTCGTTTTTAAAAAGAAATAACATAAACATTGAATGCAGGTTATCAAGGGGATTGTCTCCTTTTTGTCGGATTGGAATAATATTCTAGCAGCTCACTGAATGTTCGGCAGCTGTGCCCATCAGTGTACCACCTCCTAAGTCACCCTCCCTCTCACCCCCTTCCCCCCACCAATTCATTTCCGTACAGCACTCTGAGGTTTTACTTTGTACCCCACATGGGGGGGGGAGGGGGGGGGAAGTGCTCGTCCCTAAGGGATTGCTGTAACGCCACATCATCATGGGTCCAGGGTTTTCAGAGTCATCACCGTATTTCATTCCACAACATAAAAAGAAATTGAAAGTACACTGATGTGTGCCACCTAAACCACATCTGATGCACCCCTTCAAGTGATAGAGTCCCCCAATCCCTTCCCCTCCCCCGACTCTGGTATATACTTCAGTGAATTCTTGCTCATAGCATTTTGCTCTTAATTTACCCTCATGTAAATCTACCCCCCGGCCTTCCCCGCACACACAAAACACTGGACTCTAAAGCACAGGTCCCTAGGATCAGGTGCCAGCAGCGGGTAAATGTGGCTTCCCTCACTGGAGGTTTGTCAACTCACACTTAGCAGACATAACCTTGCACCAAGTACATCACCGTTCAGCCAAATGATGCTGAAGGCACATGCAGATACAGCAGAAGGCCCAATGTCACCATCCCCTTAGCCAGCCCATGGTTAGCACTGCCAGTGTGTGACCCTCTCGAAGAACAGTTATCCACTTGGTCCTCCCAGATTACTTGAGTGCTCAAAACTGGGGAAGATTCCTTTATAACAAAAACACACCCAAAAGATCCCAGAAGTCTACATACACCATGAACAGCAAATGTTATCTGCACCAGTGAGTATCAGACTGCAATTACACACATGACAAGTTGCCGATTTTAGGCAAGCCAACCGGGAGAAGTGGGCAACAAGCTGGGTCAGTCTGCAAACCACCTGCTAACATAGCTGAACAGGCAGTAGGCTGGGAGATCACAGACTAGCCCTTTTGATCAATGAATTATATGACAATAGTTGAGAAAGAGAGAAAGAAAGAGGCAAGTGTGAGAGGGGGGGAGGACGAGTAAAAGAGGAATGAGAGTGAGAGCGAGGGGTAACTGGAGAAAATAACAAATAATAAATAAATGAAAATGTAACTTTTTTTAAGATCTGGAACTACAACACACTCATGGTAGAACATCACAAAACACTAAGAAGAAACCCACCTAAATAATGTGTTTTTTTTTTAAAAAAGAAAAAAAGTGAATGGTGTTTCCCGAAAAACATTGTGTTTGGCATCGAGGTTGCTCTCAATGCTGTGGAGGCCACGGACTAGCAGTAATGAGGTGAAGTACAGCCTGGGCACTCGGGTGAATAATGATGAATTTTAGTAATGTGAAATTACTTTCACTTCTCCATCACAACATGCAAAGACATTGAACATGGAAGTTTGGGGCGGTGGGGGGGGGGGTGGAAGGGGCGAGGAGAGGATGTGAAACTCTTATCCTGAATCAACGCTAGCCTTATGCCATATGCAAGTCTCACAAAATCTAACCCTGAAAACCTCACACAACAGATAAACCTCCGAAACCAAATGACTAGAGTCTGCAGTTCAGACTCTCATAACCTTACCGGCTACTGTTCACCTGAAGGGGAGTCAATGAAAGTGATTGGCCTCCTATCCTTCAGTTTATATTTGCTCCTCATTATTCAATGACAACATCCCTGATCCCATGTCTCACTTGGTTTACTCTGGTTGGAATAATTGTTGAGGTGCAGCAGGCGACACTGAGCAACCTCCCACACACCAGCATTCTTTTCACAGGTTTTGAGTTCCTTGGTTTGCGTTTCCTGGTCTGCAATTTGCTGATCCTGACATTTTCTGGGGGGCGGGGAGTTAGTTCTAAGCTCCTGCATTAATCTTATGGACCAAATCAGTCATATCAAGTATACAGATAATACAGATCGGCTGATTTTAAAACTTCTGAAAATGGCCTGAAACCTGCCCAGCAGCTGGATGAATGAGAGACAATCTGGGTCATCAGGTAACTGTGAAGTTGAGCTTCCCAGGAGGTCACATTTTTCACAACAAAAGGATTATAAAAAATATCCAACTGGCACAAGAAGGGTTGCTAAGTAATGGATTTACAGATTGTAGAACTGGAAGCACGAGAGTTGACCTTCGACGTCCTTTCTTCTCTCACCACATCCCCATTCCTCCCCTTGTCCCCGAAAGTTAGCTCATTCTGAATTCACACTACACTTGGCTGCCATTCCTTTCCTGCAGCAATCGGCGTTTCTCACTCCTGCTCACAGATGAGCAAAGGCAAGATGTGGTGCAGCACACGGGCAATCTCCCAGCTGGGAGTCTGATGCGATTGCAATTCTCCTCACTGCCCCAGAGTTGGCAGTTAATTGGGATGGGGATGTGGGTTCTTACACCAAGGTGTAGTGACACGACACTCAGGAAGAAATGGGTGGAGGTTGTGCAGCTGGAGGCTGAACGACGGAACAGCAAAACCAACAGCAAAGGGATAATGAGCAGCATCATTCTACACAAATACACAGAGTTAAACAAACATGGATTGATGTAAACCAAAGGCGATTGATTTGATTGATCATGAGGACTGTAACAAACTTAAGATTTCTTTGCGATGGTGGTGCGGGGGGGGGGGATTCAAAGTGTCATCAGTAACATATACACACTAAAGCTTTGGGTACCAATCACAGAGGATGAGAGGACTGGATGTGAGCAGCACTTGTGTCAGGAGAGCAGTAATCGGGTCACACGTCAGGTAATGCCGCTACAAACCCAATGAAAGTCTTGCTGAATGAAATGACGTTATAAAATATGGGAGCTTTGTTACAGCCTTTTTGATAAACCAGTAAACAGAAGCTAATATAGGACGCAACCTGCAAGGATCAAATACTGGTGGCTCACTGACTAACAAACCAGAGGAATATGCTACATTTGTATTGTGCACTGCTGTACCCATGATCTCTTGCGAAACGCAATGCCTTCCTTTGTGTAACCTGATAAAATGTAACTCAAGATACTGCCAGGAGAGATCAGATCAGTCGGCACCGGTCCGGTGGGCAGTGTAGGGGGTCTTGGTTGTGGGGAGGTTGTTGTTCTTGAACAGGAGGTCAGGGGCAGCGTTTGAGGTCTTTCCACTGCGATAGCAGCTAGTGCAAATAGTCGTCCACTCTGGCGAATGAACAGGATCCAATCCCCGCACGCGCCATCAGCCGAAGGCATTCGGAGGCCTGGCCCAGTGCAAGCATCAGCGGTGGCTGCTTTGGCAGATTCTGAGATTCTGTCAGCGAGAGAGAGAGAGAGAAAATGCTAACATGAGAAATGGGACGAGTTACAAACTGCTGAATCTTTGCAGGCCACCAAAACCAGGTGGATGAGAAATGCAACAACAACTTGCATTTATATAGCGTCCCTCACACAGGGTAGCGTCCCAGCAACTCCACTCTCAAGTAATCTGAAGTCGGCCTCTATCAAAGAAACCTGCAAATTTCCCTTCTCTTCTCTTTCTACCCCAAAGGCTTAATTGAATGCATCAACCAGCAGGATACAACTCTCAACACGACAGGTTGCATTACCTCAGCTCCTCCCCTCAAAGGCTCTTGGCTCTTACCTGGGATCAGCTGCGAACAGCCTCTTGGCAGAACTTACTCGAATCTTTCAGATTCCAAAAGGAAAGGCTGAGTAGGGAAGTTAGGACTTGAGCAAAGTGCCTCAGATATCTGAGGTCTGACGTCGAAGAGTGCGTCATTTTAATTTGCAACGTGCGAGTTAACTTTTTATTGTAAAAAAGAGTGAAAATATTTTGTACACAGCAATTAAACCAATTTAATTTTCGCAAGACTTGGAAATCGTTCAGCATGCAACAGTGTGGTTCTTACCTAAAATCGCACTGTTAAGGGCAGCACAGATAGGTTCCCTCTGGATGGGGTCAAGTTGTTGCCCAACTGGACAGCTCCAGGGATCGGAGTATGCAAGCAGGCTGAACGCATCCTGGGGAGGACAGCAAGAGTTACTCCACCATCTCAGCTGCGCAATGACATTGGAGGCTTTGAAGAGACAGGCTGAAGGAGACTTGGTACCTACCTGTAACATCTTTTTGTGTGTAGCGTTCTTTCCATATTCCCGGCACAGCTGTTCACTCAGGGCTTGCAATTCCCGGCCAAACTGGATCATGCGCTCTGTTGCGGCCTGGTTCCCTCCACAGAGCTGTCGCTGAGGGCAGCTCTCCTCTGCAACGAGAGGAGGAAAAAAGTGCATTCAGGAGGACCACCCACGAAGAGGCGGAAATTTAGTCGGGGCGGGGGGGGGGTGTTGCAAATGTAAAGCAGAACAATGCGAGGTAATCCAGTCAAACCGCCAAACGGTAAAAACATTTAAAACATTTGCAGCAAGGGTCTGTGTGTGTTAAAAGAAAAGAAGCTAACCTAAAGATGAGACCAACATTTTAGATAAATGTTGTTTGATTTGTTTTATATCTTTTCCCTCCTGAAAATGCTGATCAATCATGAGAAGCAGTTCCAAGGACACAAGTTATCCTCCAGGATCCCCAAGTGATCGTTCTCCGTATGTGATCCCACACACATGCACACTTTCTAGCAGGCATCAAGGGATAGCGATCAGGAATCCAGATAAATTTCTGGAGTGTTTTGAGGCCAATTCATGTCCTGTATTGGCCGTGATTGGTTACCTTGGTGCACACAGAGACCTGTTTTGGTCTTTAAGGCTCAGTTTCGTACGTATCAGAATTTAAAAAATCATAACTTATAAAAACATGATTTCTGAGAGAAAAATGTACACTGTAATGTACAAACATACAATGTAAGGATTGAAAATTCTATTCACAGAATCTCAGACTGCCAACTCCATGCAAATGCCGGGTTACCAAAGCTGTCTGTGCACACCCTTCTGTTACACATGCTAAATCTATGCCATCTATGTACACCTTTTCCTCCTCTGTCTAACAAACCGAATGCCCTGCCTCTGCTTCATCCTACCCATGCTGGACTCGTCTGTCTGTAGAATCTCTTCGTGCTTGTAGTTGCCGTTCATTATTCTAGTAGAGTTTTCCAGGACTCCGTTGGTGTAGTGCTCCGGCTCCATTTCCATTTCACTATCACTGTTGAGCAACAACGCACATGTCAGACAGCACCATTTCGCAGAGCTAGGTCTGCGGATCTCACCGCAAATCCCAATCCCAAAGCTGTTTGGGCGCGTAGGAAAATGAGCAGACTCCCATTTTCCCATCCTTTGAGCTCACTGCCTGCATCGCTCCTGGTTGTAACATCCTCATCAAACACTCAAAAAGCAGTCACTGGGTAGTGGACTGCGAGTTCCGCACACACTAACACCCTAAACAACCACTCCTACTCCTTATACAAAATATACTGACCCTCTAAGACCAGGAGTACACTGGCTTTATCCTGAGCAAAAGTTTTTGGGTAAATGAAATCTACCTTCAGCTCCGCAGCAATCTGTTACAATAGTATTACATTTTAAAATCTCAGACCTGTAATTTTGCAATCCGCCTTGCCCCCGTCCTCGCCTCCATCTCAATAACTTCCTTTTCAACCGTACCTTCAGTCATCTTCCCTCCTCCACCACCCCCTTGCCCTCCACCCCTCTCTGATCCCAATCTGCAGCTCGGGTGCAAACCCCCCATTGTCCAGCGCCTTGGGACGTTCTCCCGATGTGAAAGGCGCTATATAAATGCAATTTATTGTTGTTGGAATCTGGGCACATAGTGTAGGACATACCTGGTTTCCTGATTACTTGTACTACTGTGCTGCTGGGATTTGGAGGAGTCTGTTGAGTTGGACTCTGAATAGTTTACAGAGGAGGGGGAGGAAGAGGATGAGGAGGATGAAGACGAGGAACTTATAGCTGGGTATTTGTTGTGGATTGGCTTGTTTTTCGAGGAGACGACCCCATTGCTGCAATTTGGGCTGTCTGCTCCTGCAAGACACGGACAGGAATTACATACAGAAAACATAGGAACCGCAGCAAGACTCTTAAGCTTTTACTGTTTCCCTTATCCCCTATTTATTTTGTGTCAGCCATGTGTCTGACACATGCGGCAATCCATCATCATGCTTAAGAGTTCCAAAGCAGGCTACCTACACATGGAATGGAATGCGCACTCTCTCCCCAGAGAGACTGCATCCCATTTACCTATTTCTTGGCACAGGTTGGCTATCATTATCTGAGCAGAAAGTCTCTCCCAATAGGCACCTACACAGCGCACAAATCTAAAACTATAACGTACATGCAAAACCACAAGGAAAAGGAACGAGTTAGAAATATAACCGAGCATCCACACTGAGGAAGCAGCAGCTCTTTGATCGAATTGATCAATCATTGAACTCCAGGGACAGAAAAGAGACAACGTTCTTTTTTGGATTAACAACAGTACCCAGCTGTTTGGAGTCACGCAATTACCTGCATTGTTGAGGTGAGCATTATTGGCTCCATGCCTGGGGCTCAGGTTGGGTGATCCGGGGTAGCTGTCCTGGGATTTGGGACTCCGGGCACTGAAACAGCGAACCTCACTGTCTGTGCCATTCACCATCTCCACAAACTGTCGACACCTGAATAGGTTTAAACAAGGAGAAAGCGATCAGTTCTTGGAATACTGGAGTGCTTCGTTCAGCATCTCCTCAGCCTGAGGAACCAGCTCACTCTGCCACAGACAGAGAGCCTAATACAACAACAACAAAATTACATTTGCATAGCGCCTTTCACATTGGGAGGACATCCCAAGGCTCTGGAATTAAGCACCATTCTATGAAAATGACAATCCTATGGTTAAAGTATGTTATCTTTAATCACGTTTGTTAATCCCAAACTTCAACTCTTACCAATGGGCCTAAAATTTTCCAGAATTAGATACACAGGGTATGTCCCTCCGAGGAGAATGTGCATCCATTCTAGACAGAGAAATTTCCATGCGTAGGTGGAATTCAGACTGTTTGGCCACTCTGGATTTCTGTCAGACACCCAGCTGATTAAAAAATATCTTGCTGGTTGCTGGTCTGGTGCGAGTGCACTTACTTTAACATGAAGAGCAGGTTTGGGTTTCGCTCCAGCAGTCCTGGATACAGCTGTTGTGTTGCTTCTATTGCTTCACCCACTCTTCCTGCTAAGACTAGCTTTTGTATTCCTGAAGCAAAGAGGACAAAGATTATTGTTACCATGGCAATCATCAATTTCCTCCACTCCTCCCCACCCCCACATCAACACAACCGATCAGAACCTGGACAATTTGAATTCTATATCGTAAAAGATCACTTTCCATCAGCATTGTAATAATAATAATCCTTGCATTTGATAGATCGCCTTATCATGTCATTGAGACGTCTCAAAGCGCTTTACAGAATGTATTACAAAGTGGATTGACTGTATTTTGTGGGCGAAAAGCGGAAGCCAATTGCGCACAGCAGCATCCCACAAACAGTTGTGGAGTGAATGACCCAATTTTTTTTGGAGATCTACGACAACTATTTATACTTCAAGTTATTGAAACCCCTGCTAGATAACTTGAGGCTAAAATGACTTTTAAATCCAATCTGACAGCCACATCCCAACTTTCTTTGTACAAAGGGAGTTTCTGGTTTTCTCCAGGAGGAAAAAGAAACACAACAGGGGAGGAGGTACCCAACATACTGGTGTGATTCAGTCAATAAAGAAAAGTGCTTCCCCCACCATCCCAAAAGTCTTGGCAGCAGAACTACTGGTGAAGACAGATGGTTCCTACCTCCCCACTGAGGATACTGTAGAACATGCACAATAAACAAGTCTCGGGTAGGACAGTCGGGTGGCAAGAAACCCCAGCTAGTTCTTTTGCTCAAAGTTAGTAACAGATTACAAATAGGAAATTGAAATTTTACACACACACTTGTTCCAGACTTACGCTGCCTATTTTTGATTGAGCTCTGCTCCTCTTGAATGCTCTGCCCTGTTGCTCTGGCAAAGGCAGTTGCTGTTGCACAGTACCCATGGTGTACCAGGTAGGACGACACCATGCTGCAAGACAAATTCTCACACAATGAGCAAGTCACAACACACAAGTCTGCAGCAATCTGCTAACCCTCTACGCATGGCAAGCCAAGAGCAACGCTTCTTACTTTTGTAGCATGGTCTGCCACTCCCCCAGTCTGTCTCCTATGGGAAATCTCTCAATGGTACCATGGATCTTTGCTCTCCACTCTCGCATGTAGTCCTCAATGTCAAAAACAAACGGCTGCTGGCCAAAGTTGGCATCCACGATCTCACCGGGCGTCTGGAGCCCCACAGTCGGATACAAGTTTGGCTGAAAGATAAAATAATGAAAGGCCTGAATTCAAAATCATTTATTCCCCTTTAGATGGAAGTAGCAGTGAAACTGCTCCCTAAGCAGCTAGCCTGTCATCGTCAGGGGAGGATGCCAAATGCACACATATGGGAAGTAATAGCCAAACTTTACCACTGAAGTTTAGAGAACCTATAAATGGCTTCCTGGTTCAGGTAACCAGCAATTGAAAACGTAAAAAAGGACTTTATTTGCTTGAATTAACCAGAACAGGGAATAAACAAGCTCAAGAGTATTTATATACTCAGGACTGGCAATAATTTATAGTTTAACAGTTTGCTTTGGAAATGCATGTACCTTGCTTGTTATAGACAGAAAATTCAAGCAATGTGTTAAACTAAGATACCGATCAAGCCTCAACATAGCCCCCCTGCAAACTCTGGTGGTTTCCAAATACAGAGTTCTTTAAAATTATCTACATAGAACAGGAGAATCCAACTAAAAAATAACTTTTCTGTGAATGTATTCACCCACGTCCTGTCCCTCCCCATACACAAACACACCACACCCAAGATGACATTTTCCTCGGCCTCTACCAATCTCCTTTCCAATTTAAATTTGGCTCCAGAAATATCCTCTCATCTGGGTCTGACACTTTCCTGGAAACTCTTCCGGGAAAGTGGAAAGGATTTGTAGGCGAAAGCTATTTTTTGGCAGCGTACAGCACAGAACCCTCCCCTTCCCCAGATCACTTACTATTCCTTTGTAAAAACTGATACAAATTAATAAATATACAGTAAAACCCCTTAGTAATTACATATAACAGAATATGTAAGAAATAACTTGGTGTGGGGGGGGGGGGTACATAACAGGTAGACAGGGGCTTGGTTTAATGTCTCATTCAAAGGACAGCAACTGCAACAATGCAGTGTTCCCCGAGCACTGCATTCGAGTGTCAACCTAGAACTTCAGTTTAAAGTCCCTGATTGCATCAACATGACAATAATTTGGGATATTTAAGGATTTTTTCCCCCCAAAAGTGGTCTGGTTTCTTTTTCAGTTCTTGCTTCTGTTTTCTTGGCGCACATTTCCTTCTTTTTGGAAAGAATTTACAGAGCACTTCTGAAGACAGTCTTGATAAATAATTGTGAGCATATCACTTCCGATTTAGGGGGGGGGGGGGGGGTAGGAAAGAAAGACATACTTACAGGCAGATCTGTGAATGCTATTCCTGAAAAGCAAACCCAAAAGAAATGGTCAGTACTTTAAATTACTGGAAAATACTTTTAAAAAAACTCGATCATTTTGTTTTTATTTTACTCAACAGGTAAAAATGGCAACCTGGAATACATTCTTCGCTGCAGAATGTACAACACATCAACACTGCAGTGCCGTGGAGCGTTGCCACGAGATGGCGCTCACTCTATAGCCCTGTCAGCACGTACAGTTCCATCCGAATGAACACAGAGCTCCCTGGATTCTGGGAGAGCTTCTCCAGACGCAGCGAAGTGTACGTACTTTTTCCAGCCGCACAAATCTATAAATTCTCATGTGGTTTAAAAACACGGATTATTTTACCCATTCTGGGTTCCCCTCGACCCAGCCCTCCCTAGCGGTGTCTAAAATTGTAAAGGAGTTTATGGGGGAGGAAGTTTGGGCACAAGCTCGTGGCTTACTGTTACTCTACTATGTTGGGATATACAATGGCCCTCTGAGCCGTGCATTGCCTATTCGGCAGATTGTTTTGATAGCAGAGTTTGCAAAGGGAACGTTTAGTCTACTCGTGCCAAAGAGGAAGCAGGATTGAAGGAGGATTGTGAGGAAGCATTCACCAGTCACAATTTATTTAAGGAATCTTGCGACATTTTAGCTTTAAAAACTCACTTGTGAACACAAAACTCAAAATATACCATCAGAGACTGAAAAGAACTGATCACTCATTCTCTGCCAACTCAACAACCAACTACAATAAAATAGGATTGTGGGAACAGGGACTAAAGAATATAGGCACTGGCCACTATTGTACATTCCCAATAACAGGCTGCAGAGCAGTGTTGGTGGAGGCCCGTGACTAGGCCGTATATCAGTGCTCTACACCGGTAGAGGTGGTTGAGAAATCTCAGTGAAGGCCACAGTGCAAATCATATCAAGTGAAATGAATAAGTGGTTGAGCGATGAAGGAAGGAGCGAGAGTATGAGAGTCTGCAGGTCAGAATGTGTGTCTATGAGAGGGTACGTGTGTGTGATTGACAGACTAAGCGTAGGAGGCAGTAAGAATAAGTTAAGTGTCGGAGGCATTGCAATGAGCCTCGTTTTCAACACAGCGATGATGCCAAGAGGAACGAAGAATGATACGTTATGGAAATAGGCCATTCAGCCCAACTAGTTTGTTCTGCCCTGCCATGATGAAATATGGGTAGATCTCCCTTAATGATTAGTCTAACTGAAGCACACTTTGAGCATCGACCTCTGTGAAACAGGCTACACACATCATTTACACACAGGGTTTAGAAATACTAACAAAAACTGGTCCAGGTTGAATGTCGAAGACCTGGAATTATGCGATACAATCTGGATGCTCAGCAGTCACACAGAATCAGCAGTGGTTCACATGTGGAGCTCTCCTGTCAATTATACAACATTTCCTCTGAAGCTGTCGACAGGTTCAGGATGGATCAAAATGCTCTGCATCAACTTGATAATCCAATTTTACGACGGTGAAAACTTGAAACAATCTCATGAGCGTTTAGTAAGTGGCAATAAACTGCCTGACAGTTTAACAGAAGATTTAATAACAACGCAAAAAGGACTAGGTTCAGTCCAAAGATAGATACTTGAATCTCAGTCCATCGGTAGCTCTTCCTTTCATTTTCAATATTTACGGGTAGGAAAATGACAATACAATACAGTTCATAACAAGACAGTAAGATGGTGGAGTCCTGTAGCTCAGTGGTTAGAGCACTCACCTTGCAAGTGAGACACCTGGGTTCAATTCCAGGCAGGGCGAAAACTTGATCAAGTTTCCTTACTCCACACGCCTAATAATAATCCCACCAAAACAAAACAATAATAAATTGGTCATTTTCAATCCATGACTGTTTGTGGGACACCACTGTTGCGCAATTGGCTGCCCGTTTCGCCCATAAATATAGTCAATTCACTTTACAGCATATTCTGTGAAGCGCTTTGAGACGTCGAGAAGACGTGAAAAGCGCTATATCAAATGCAAGGATTATTATTATTATAATTTGAAACTTTTTACATCTGCTGGAACAGTTGGAAATCAAATCCAATACCTACTGTAAGCAATTCGAGGGATTCTCTAGGACAAGGCCTGATAAACATCCTTCAAAGCTGGCTTGCTCCTCAGCATTGGGCCGGTCTAATTTACCTTATTTCTATATTAGCTGAAGCTGGGATGGAAACAGAAGGTTTGGTGCTCGCTTTGGTTGTCAGCACTCCATACCGGTTTCAGTCAGAATGGGAGGGAGCAGTGACCAGACACTTGTGCTCAATGTTTGCAAAAGATTTTGAGAAACAGGAAGAGGTCCTTCCGTCATCAGAGCTATCATATCAACCCAACTGCAGTTAGACCTCCCTGTTCTGTGATTATTTGCCACAGCTGAAAAGTAGGTGGTGGCTCTGAAAGAAGCTGAAATTGTGAGAGCAGCGACCAGACACTTGCTCTCAACGCTTGCAAAAGATTTTGTGAGCCTCAGATTTCATTAAGTCAATCAAACAAAGGCATTCCAGGTCAAGTGAAATTGGTGTTGACGAAGACTGGAGTAGAACTAGATCTGGAAAGGGAAGATGGCCTTGTTTGTCTAGATGAGAAAGCATTAAGATGGCTCAGATGTGGAATAAAGAGGTTGATAAACGTTTTGATACGCATCTGGCTGGTACAGATGCACAAGACTGCCCTAGCAATTATCCCATTAAGCATTGGATAAATTGCCCATTTCTCAAATGCTCCAGGGATTTTCCTTCAACTCAAGAGTGATGATACCAACATTTTAAATAGTCTGTATATATTAATATACATTATATCAGTGGTGTCCAAGCTTTTTGGTTGGCCAACAAAATAAATTGTCTTGATTGACTATTTCTTGATTTAGGCCATAATCAAAAAATATTAAATCAAGAGGAAACGGGAAACACACTACCGATCAAACACGGAATTACCTAGGCTAGTGCAAATATTTGAGTTTGGATTTAAAAAATAATATAAACACGCAAGCAGAAAATATTTAATTAAACTAAAACCTGAATTAAAAAAATTCTACCACCTTAAAGCAAGAAATCGTCCATTGTCCTCCACCAACCATCTCATACCAAACTAATCCGACAGATTGGATGACCTCAATCACTGGGCTCCAATGCTAAAACTGGATGAAGGTCACATGTCGGAGGTAAACAAGTTGGCACCAGCTGCTTGTCAACAGAAAAATTTTGTTTTCTTGAACACAGGAAAGGGCATTGAGCACCAAAAGAACAAGATCTGGGGAACAGATCAGACAGCTAAGAAATTAAATAAACCCGCTGACCTGAATACAGCCTAATTTCACCATTACAGAGATTAAAATTAAATTCTCAGACCCCACAGCAGCACGCCTCATTATAATTCAGTTTGTCTGTGAAATAAGGTCTGATTTGTAGATTGTGAATCTTAATCATTCCAGCTCAAAAGTAATGAACACACTGGTATATTGCAGAATACTGTGGGAAAAGACAAGAGCAAGCAGAATACTGCGCATGTTATCTCATGCAAGACTTCATCCATCTATATTCTGTTCCCTGGTTAATTCTACTTTTCTGTTGAAGGGCAAAGATTTCATTAAAGAAAGGTTGTTTTGGATGAGTGGCCCTGGTTTAACAGACAATACTCCTTGCATTTGAAATAGCGCCTTATCATGTTGTTGAGACGTCTCAAAGCGCTTCCCAGGATATACTATGCTATAAACACAATACAAATTGCATTTGTATAGTGCCTTTCAGGTCGTGAGGACATCCCAAGGCGCTGGACAATCAGGGATTTGGACCAGAACTGGGGGTTGGGATCGGGGAGGGTGGATGGCAGGGACGGTGGCTGAAGGCTCAGTCAAAGAGGAGGGTTTTGAGACGCACCTTGAAGGAGGCAAGGGAGGGTGTGAGCAAAGGGAATGTGGGATGGAGTTCCATAGAGTGGGGGCAGAAAGACTGAAGGCTCGGCCGCCGATGGTGGAGCGGCCCGGGCAGGGGACGTGGAGCAGCCGGAGCCTGCTGAGCGGAGGGACATGAGGTCAGCAGGACGCAGACATAGGGAGGGGCAAGGCCATACAGGGGAGGACGAAAATTCTGAATGGGGTGCCAGTGGAGACGGGTGAGAGTGATGGGTTCACGGAACCTGATGCGGGAGAGGACACGAGCTACAGAGTTCTGGATGATCTGCAGCTTGCGGAGGAAAGAGTTGGGAGGACTGACAAGCAGGGAGTTGGTATAGTCGAGCCTTCTCTTTGCATCCTTGGATGGTGATGCTGTCAAAGCCTGAGGTGAGGAGGCGCTGACGGGAGCCAATCAGGGGACCCTCGGTCTTGTTGACGTTCAACTATAGAAAGTTAGCTCTCATCCAGGACATTCTATCACGACAGCAGTGGTCCTGGAGTCGAAGGTGGAGGCAAAGAGGTAAAGTTGGGTGTCACCCGCATACATGTTAAAGTTGACCCCGTGTCTGCGGATGATGTCGCCGAGGGAGAGCACATATCGATATTGAAGAGGAGGGGACCAAGGACAGAACCCTGAGGAATGCCGCACGAGACTGTGCGGGCTCTAGAGGAGAAGCTATTTGTGGAGATGACGTAGAGATGGTGTAAGAGGTAGGATCTGAACCATTCAAGGATAGAATCATGAAGGTTGAAGTGAAAGGAGAGGCGGTGGAGGAGGATAGAATGGTCAACAGTATCGAAGCCAGCAGAGAAGTTAAGGAGGACAGGAAGTCAGAGGGAACCCTGGTCGCAGATGGACAAAATGTCATTTGTCACTTTGACCAAAGCTGTTTCTGTGCTATGGGCGGCACTGTAACCCGAATGGAGGGAGCGGTTTTGACTCTATTTTGTGCTTTCTTACTAGTAGGTGGTAGGTAACCCTAACCCTGAAATGCTGTACACTGTCCAGGGCCTTGGGACGTCCTCCCGATGTGAAAAGCGATATACAAATGTAATCTTGTTGTTGTCGGTGGGATTTTGGTCTCATCCAGAACTTGATGTCAATTAGTTTGGCTCAGAAACATTGAAACAGGCTCCATTCTTAATCTTAACGCACTACCCGAGGGCATCAAGACTAATTGACTGATCCAATGTTTCGAGTTAATCTATTAAAGTGGAGACAGTGCTATTTGGTGGCAGTCTCGAACAGCCACATATCAGCAGCGATCTTCATCCATTAGCTTAACCCCAGCAAAAGTCCTCTACAGCAACGTTTAGCAATGCATTGTGACCACTATCTGAATTGTTCCACTCTTGACCTTGTGCAGGCCTACTGTTCTGGGGAACACTCTATCTAACCACTCTTACCTCAGCAGAAGGAATGATGCTTTTACTTTTGGCATGTAAATTCCATCTCTTATCTGTAGCAAGTCCTGAAGGATGTAGCCTAATACAGACATCATAATGGACTGGATACCCAAGCATCATTCTACATGTGGTTACTAAAGTTCAGATAGAAAACTCTTGTAGTTAGTCCAAATAGATAGTCCAGATAATAAATTCACTTGTGTGGGTGTTCACATGAATCACTAATGGTTTACTGCTTTCATTTATATTTTGACACTTTCCTCCCCTGCTCCTCTATGATGTTTCCCATTAGGTGTCAGCAACTCTCATTCTGAACTATATAAGCATCTCTTTTCCCTAAGGTGTTCTGTCCACAGTGGAAGAAAAGGGCAGGAAAAGTTCAAAAGGGTCTGATTATTTAAATGATAAAGTAATTGTTTCTATCACAGAAAGTAAGGCAGGATCATCCTCAAATGTGTGGAAAATGATCAACTGCCTCAACAGACAGGACTGCTTCGGGTTCCTGGTTCTTCAGGCAGTCTTAGCAGATCATTAAACAGCAATGTGAGCCACAATCCAGAGAACTAAAAGGTGCTACAGCGTCACAGCCAGTGAGCTGATGGGTTTGTTAGGAAATAAAGATCCAATAATAAACCTGAAAGTGAAAGATACTCAAAGAGCAGGGCCCAGGATGAGTCTCTCTCTCTCGTGCCTCCTGCTCTGGTCTGCTGAAACGCTGCTCTACTTTCACACAGATGGATAGAATGGTTCTTTCTCAATTCATGAATTCCGTGCATCCCTGTACTGTGTGCCCTCAGGAACTGCTCACTCTCACCTTCACATTTCTCTTCTTTTATCCGTTTCTTCTCTTCACCCCTACACCCTCAGTTTTATCACATTGCAACTATTTTATTCATTCCCATTAGTTTTCCTCTTTTTAAACTTTAACCCAAAGAAATTCTTCCTCTGACACTGTGCTCGCTTTTCTTTGCTGTTGACGGTAAGTCATCAAACACCTATTCTGAAAAAAACAGGTTATTGTTTATATGGACTGCAACTACAAGGTGGCGCTGGGCAAAAGGTTGTCTTATTTTAGCTATCCAAAACCATCCTAGATTCCTAACCAAGCATACTCTCGTATGTGCATCAGGCAAGCTAAAGGTCACTAAATTGGTTTAAGATATGAACACCCTTTAAAAATTTCATGCAGCAGGAACATTCTAACAGTCCATACAAGCATCCTGGATAGATATGATGCAAACTAAAGCCAGATACAGACTGGGCACATGTCCGGTGTTTGTGGATGATGCAACACAAGAATACACATTTCCAAACTGTCTGGCATGTTGACAAATTAACCTGGAGCCCTCTCCAAGGTACTACTTGAAGCAAAATGTGAACACTCAGATTTCCCAAGCGGAGGCACAGCACAGGGATTAGAGACACTTGTTGAGGGAATGTTCTCTCTTTGCTCTTCTCTTGGCAGGTAATAGAAAACATTGCTGAGAGGGGTCAGCTGGCTCGAAACTGGTTGTGGGAAACATTAGTCTGCTAGGTGGCTTGCTCCCAAAAGGCCAATCTCACTTGGAGCCAGGAAAATTACTTCAGTACATCATCGAGGGTGAAAAATATCACAGTTTATGAAAACATCGAGGGTGGATTAAAAGAAGGTCCTAAACCAGATCTGCTCTGATCTCAGTCTCTGATATACTTGACACCAAGCCATCAGCAACCACTTATCTGTTCACGAGCATACATGTTGTGCATACAAAAGAAATCCTTGCTGCGTGAATTAATTAATTTATCCATCCATTATTCTGTGTGCATATAATTTCTTTAATACCCATCCTTTATCCCCATTGAGACTTGTAATGGGAAAGACACCAGTTCCCAACCTAATGAAGCATTGCAGTCAGAAAGATGAGAAGAATTTAATCTACAAAACAACAAGCAGTTATTGTACTTTAAATGTTGACTGTTCTGAAGGCTCAAGATTTCTACAGTTTGAGTAAATGCAAATTCCCTGACAATATTCAGTTATGCAAACACATTTTTATTTGAAAAAGACTAGTGTTCGAAAATGCATTTCTTGATGCATTTTCAATGACCTGAATTGCAAAGCTGAATTGAAGCCCTTAATGGCATCTTATTCCTTCATTTGTCCTCATCTGAATGGGGACACTTCATTAGGTGGGGAATTGGTATCCAAGTGTTATGAGGCTAGTGGGGATATAGACCGGGGTTATGAACCACAAGAGCAGAACAACACATTGCACGAGTGGCAGATGGAAGGAGGGAATATAGTCCACACGCTGGATCAGTGCTGTTCTGTTCCACACAGCCTGCCAGACAGCCCAAGCCACTCGCACCTCCACCATCATTATGTGACAGCCCAGAGATACAAGTTTAAAACAGATGGTGAATGGGTCAATTTACCCTAAACCTTGGAACAAATGATTCTGCCAAAAGGGTTACAGTGCAGTGTACCTATGGTGAGCTGACTGAACAGTGATAGTGTCACCATTATACCTATTCAACTGCACTCTTTGAACAAGTGGACGCTCAACTTTTTTTTTAAAAAATCAACAAAGACAGTGGTGCTTTACTTACAAGTGCTAGAAAGCTACGTTGCCTATGAAAGGCATAAAAAAGGAAAACACGTCAGCGTTACACAAAACTCACTCAGCTTCAAGACGTGATGAATTTCTAATGAAATTCCACAGGGATAGCTCCCCTGCAGTAATGTGCGGCTGCTTACCTAGGCTGTGGCCATTCTTTGTGTAGAAGCAGGTGTTGTTTATGAGGTTAACGCAGCACCCAATGACGTCTCCTGTAGTGAAGGTCGGGCCGTATGGCTGCCCTGTACCTGAGGAGCAGAAGGAGTGTCCGTCGTCTCCATGGTAACCATATGAATGTTTGTCCCAACCTGTAAAACACGGGTTAAGGCAGAGTTTAGCTTGTGAGGGAAGAGCTGGGAAATCCTGAGAGTTGGCTACGACTAACTTGGATGCGATGAAAGCTGAAGCTGCCTTTTCATCCCTGCTACAGCTGGACAGAGCAGCTCCAGCAGTAGTTACGGCCTCCAACCGCTCAGGGAATGATACTAAACTCTGCAAAGAACGGGATGTTATTCCAGGAATCAGGAACTTAAAGTCACGCCAGACATGTGGTACCACATGTGTGCAACAGCCACCAAGCACCAGGAATTCTCTGTCACATTATCAATGTGGCTGAGCTGATAATCTCCCATTCTCTCCCTCTGTTGTGATTATTTGTTCCAACTCACTGTTATCATGTTCATACGGTGCAACCAAAAACCAGGGTCCTTCAGCCAGGCTACAAGCAAACTAACTCAACACACTGACCAGAAAAGCTAAATCCTGTCCCGACCGGATTGAACGATCACTGTATGCAATCAGTTTATAAACCTGCTGCTGTCGTGAAACACTTTGCCAGGCAATACGAAAAATACAATGAAGTTTGAAGTTGTCTTAAAGCAAGAATTTCCCAGTCATCGGTTTACGTCACAGTGCCAGTTACAGTAAGCCACTAGCAGAAACGGTTGTACTGTGCAGTTTGAGTCTCATTGTGAGGAGTTGCAGACCCAGTAACCTCTCCACTGTTCTGCAGGCAAAACAAAATCTAGTGTTACACTTCAAACAACTGCTCCACGCCTTGCCCCTTCAAAGCCTGTCTCAAGACATTCCTCTTTGACCGCGCCTTTGGTAATCTTCCCACCACCACCCTTGCCTTCCACCCCTCTTGACTCCAGCCCGCAGCTCAGGTGCAAACCCTTGTCTGTCTAGCTCCTTGGGACTTCCTTGCGACGTGGAAGGCTCTATAAAAATGCAATTTATTATTTGTTGTTGCTCAATTTCATGTGGTTTCACAAATTTAAAAGCAACCAATACTGCACAATATTGCACATTCAGAGCAGAACAGGAAGGTAACAGGTCCCTGATACACCCAGTCCCTGAACAAACAATCAAGTTGAAAACACATCATTTTGTACAATAAGTATTGTTGAACAAAAGCCCAGAAGCATTGAAATGTGAGGTCAAGTGAAGTAACCCAGGTATTCTGTGGTTCTGGCTAATTATCCCCCAGATAAATTGTCATTCAATTCATGGCCGTTTATGAAAATTGCTGTGCACAAATTGGCTGCCCTGTTCACCTACAAACACAGTCACCACCTTTACAATAAGAATTTTGTGAAGCATTTTAAGACATTATTAGGCGCTATATCAATTGTAAGGATTATTTAGAATTATATATTCTATGAAAATAATGTCCACAAGAACTGAATCAAAGTCATTTGCCAGTTCTTTAAGAGGCAGTCAAAACATTCCAGGTTACGTCTGATTTTGGCCTAATAGGTCCTTGTACAGTTGCTCCATCAGGCTACATATGAGCAGTGTGTCTATCGGAGAGCTTTTTGCAGGCAATGAGGCTGCACAAGTTGAGAATGGGCAAAAACTGCCAGCCAGCCTCCTGAATGGACTTGGGAACATGCTGCAGCACTCTCTACTGTTAACCAAACTGAAGACATTAATAATAATAATACTTGCATTTGATACAGCACCTTTTCTCGTCTTTTAGATGTCTCAAAGAGCTTCACAGAATATACTGTAAAGTGAATTGACTGTTTTGTTGGCGAAACGTGGCAGCCAATTGCGTACAGCAGTGTCCCACAAACAGTCGTGGATTAAGCAACAATAATAATAATAATCCTTGCATTTAATATAGCGCTTTTCACGTCTTCTACACGTAAGTAACCGAACTATTATTTTATTTTTCTGAATGAACGATTACCCCCGGAAAGCAATCCGACAATCGAGTAATAACTAGGTTTCCACTTACTGCTAGGTTAACAGAGGCGTGTGGAGTAAGGAAACTTAATGTAGCCTTAGTGTATGTATGAGTCCAGTCACAGGACGATGAAAGGTGTCCGATTACACGGCCCAATACAATTGCTCTTCACAGTCGCTAAATATATCTCCTGACCAAATTAGTACTCATTAGCTACGGCAATGGAGCACTGGTATAGGGTGACATTAATAAAACCTCCCCACACCCTAACCACTCCACTTGATACCAGTGTGTGTCAACAAATCCACTGCCCAGGGAGAGGGCTCAGGAAACAGTACATTCCAATCCGGGTGCACATTTCCTCTGTACTGTTCCGTCAACAATGTAGTACTGTGTAAGAAGTTCACAGGACAGCAATTATTACCATTGCAGTCAGTGGCAACGCGCTATAAATCGGGGAAATAATTCCTTCCAAAAAAAATTGGTCACTTCAATCCACGACTGTTTGTGAGACACTGTTGTGTGCAACTGGCTGCTGTGTTTCGCCCACAAAGTATACAGTCAATTCACTTTGCAATATATTCTGTGAAGTGCTTTGAAACGTCTCAAAGACGTGATAAGGCGCTATATCAAATGCAGGGATTATTATTATTACTTATATTATAAATCATAGGGCTGTGTTAACAAAACTCTTGCGATCCCTCGGACTGGATTAATTCATTCAAATTTGTGATTCCACCTGTACTCAGACAGTGCGGGGAGAACTGAGAAAGTGCGGCACTCGAAGAAATGAGTATAAAATGTCCGGCACGATGTGTGTAAGGCCCATGGGCTAATCTGTCCACCGTATGGCTAGAGTGTGAAAAGTAAACCTATTCTGGAATAGGGGACCAAGGCTGAAATTAAGCCGACCCTCTAGTTCAAGATCAGCATGTTCAGACACTGTAGCTGTAAATAGAAAGGTATGGAGAGGAAGCAGTACCTTAAGAGACTTGTAATTGGGCCTGAACAGTGGTTTAATGGATTTCTTTTTCTTGAAGTTAATCCTTTCATCCATTCACTCAGTTGGACAAAGCAGGATGCCAAAGCACACAGTCGCTTCCTAGAACACTCCCATCCTCTTCATTCAACAGAGTTTAGTTCCTCCTGCAAATCCTCCCCTCTCCAGTCTGGCTTCCTCTACAATTTCAGCTCTATTTGTGGCAGGGTTTATATGTTCCTCCTCCCGATGAGTGGGAAGCGAGGCTCTTAACCTGGTGGATTACAGCTTCATAAAATGAGCTCTGCCTCTAATGCAGGGATGGGGTGCAGAGAGACTCCTAGAATCAGATTGAGAATAGAAATTCTCCAAGTGGAACACCAGTAATCTAGGTTTGAGCCTGACTCAGTTGATAGTTAGGTGAGAAGGACAGGATCATTATTATTATTAATCCTGTTAAAGGTTGGCCAAACAGATTGCTAGATCTAAAGGAACTGGACATAAAACTAAGCGCATCTCTGTGCACAGTAACAGGAATGGGTTACTGTGCAGTCTTGGCATAATCATAAGATATCTTGCTTCAACCCATGCTTCAGGTAAATACCAAATGAAAGATACATTAGAGTAGAGGGCCAGGAGAGAATCCAGTCACTGGCTTCATCATACCTCAGGAGAATTAAATCCAGTCTCTTTGCTGTTACTGGATAACCACCGATTAGCCACATATAGACCAAAAGCATCATATAGCATTTCCTCTAAGCTACTAGAGGTTACTAACTTTACAGCCTTCTATTGAAGGTTGGAATCATTTCAACTTGCACTGCCTAACACTCAAAGTCACCAGTCTGACCCTGGAAGGCCTTCCGGGAAATGCACAGTGTATTTCATCAATCGTGTCATTTTTCCTTCAAGGGCTGTTACTCGGTCAGCTTTTCAAAGGTCAAACTTAAGGAGTTGTCAACTTTAATTTCTGACCTTTAATCTTTTTTTTCTGTTTGAGAAATAATAGTAAGAGATGATATAACGTCAGAGCTGAATCAGCACACACAGTTGAAGCTAAAGCACTTTGGGTTGGCGACTCATTTCTACTGTTGTTAACTAAACTCCTTCACCTCATCAGGCTTGGAAGCCAGCAAGCGGATAGCTGATTCGATCAAATCCCAGCAGGTATCTTTAGGGGATCCTGGACAAAGATTGAAAACAGCAATGGCAATGAGTCCTTGCCTCAGACCTCCTCAATCTTCCTAAACTCTTTCACAAACTCACTGAACCAGTGGGCATCTTTGGCGTTCGATCCTGAACTCTTTCCTTTCTCACATCCAGTCCCTGAGCAAGATCGCTTTTCTGCATCTTCACTACATCACCTGCCTCTATTCCCATCTCACACCCAACACTGCCGATTCATTTATTCATGCTGTCATCACCTCCAAACTCGATTTTTTTAATATAAATCTCCTGCTCGCCAGGCTCCACCAACATACATCCCAGCTCCACATCGTCATGATTCAGCGCATCGAAACCTCAGTCACCTCCATCCTTACCCAGACAAAACAACATGCCTTTTCGCCAGGCCTCACTCACTCTCAAATTACCACATCTTACAAATCTCTCCATGCCCTCATTCCTCCCTACCCCAGCGATCTCCAACCTCTGCTCGGCCACTGTGTTCAGTTCAGCTTCACATCATCAACGGCCAAATCTTCAGCCACTAAGCTCCCCACCCTCTACTAGTTTTCAAAAGCTACCTGGAAACCTAGCTCTTTGACCGTGCTTCGCTCACCTACCTCCTCCCCCCTGCTTGGAGTCCAGCGACGTCTGTAAAGCATTTGAGGCGTTTCTCTAAGTGAAGACACTATGTAAATGCAAACTGTTATTGTAATTCTTGTGCAAGAAAGGGAAGAACTGAGCTAGGGGCCTCGAACCGGGCTTACCCGACATCTGGAGTGGGTAACATCTTTCAACAATGCAGAAAAAAAAAAGTATTATATTGCAGCAAAATACGAGTAGATGACAAACCTTTAAATCCATATGTTTTTGAAGCTTCGGAGAATGGTCTTGCCAAGTAACTCCCACTGGATGCGAGTAATTTGAATTTTCTGTCTCTGTTCACATGGCAGCAAGACACTGTTCCAGCATGA